ACATTAGTTTGCTAGAGCTGCCATAGCCAAAGACCACAAACCAAGTGGTTTAAACAACAGAAATTTACTTTCTCACAGTGCTGGAGGCTGGAAGTCTAAGATTAAGACGTCAGCAGGTTTGATTCCTCTTGCAGCTTCTCTCCTTGGCTGGCAGATGGCCACTTCTCACTGTATCCTTATGTGGTCTTCTTCCTGTGCCCATGTATCCCTGGGGTCTGTTCATGTATCCACATTTTCTCTTCTTGTAAAGACACCAGTCAGAGTGGATTAAAGCCCACCCAAATAGCCTCTTTTCAACTTAATTACTCCTTTAAAAGCCCTCTAAATAGCCCTGGCCAGTTTGGCTCAGTGGTTGAGCATCAGCCTGTGGACCAGAGAGTCCCGGGTTCGGTTCATACTAGGGGCGCATACCACAAAAAATAAAATAAAATAAATAAAAGCCCTCCAAATATAATTACATTCTGAGGTACTAGGGGTTAAAGCATCAACATGTGAATTTCATGGGGGAACACATTTGGCCCATAATATTGAAGTTTATCTATTGTTTTCTTTTACTGTGAGTGCTTTTTGTGTCCTCGCTAAGAAATAATTGCTTACCCCAAAGACATGAAACTATTCTCCTATATTTGCTTTCAAGAAGCTTTATAGTTCTATCATTTATGTTAGGTCTGTGATACATATTAAATTATTTTTATATATAAAGTGAGGTAGGATTGAGGTACATTTTTCTTTCCATACAGATATTAAATTATAACAAAAAGTTTCTCAAGAAAAGTTCCTTCCCACACTAAATTGATTTGGTACCTTGGTCAAAAATCAGTTGGCCTTGCCCTGGTTGGTTTGGCTCAGCGGTTAGAGCGTCGGCCTGCGGTCCCTAGAGATCCTGGTTCGGTTCCCTCTAAGGGCACGTACCTTGGTTGCAGTTTGTCCCGGGTCCTGGTTGGTCGAGTGGGTGGCAGCCACTTGATGTGTCCCTTTCACGTCGATGTTTCTCTCTCTCTCTTTCTCTCTCTCTCTTCCTCTCTCTCCCTCCCACTCTATCTGAACAAAAAATGGAAAAGTTTCCTCGAGTGAGGAAAAAAAAAATCAGTTAGCCTTAAAAACATATATACTAAACTGCTGGACACTCTGTACTGCTCTGATAATTTATTTTTTATTATTATTTTTAAAATACATTTTTATTGATTTTTTAGAGAGAGAGGAAGGAAGAGGGAAAGAGAGAGAGAAACATTGGTGTGAGAGAGAAGCATTGATTGGCTGCCTCCTATATGCCCCCTTCTGGGTATCAAACCCGCAACCGGGGCATTCACCCTGACCAGGAATCAAACTGGGACCTCTCAGCTCATGGGACAACACTCAGTCCACTGAGCCACACCAGCCAGGTCGAGAAGTTATTTTTCCGTCCTTCTGCCAGTTCTACCCTGTCATTATTACTGTAGCTTTAGAATAAGTCTTGAGATTTTTAGTAGTGTTAAGTCTCCCAATTTTATTATTTTCTTAGATTTAACACTAGATTTAGATAGTTTGTTTTTATTTTATTTTACAACTTTTAATTCTTAGAATATAAAAATTCAGCTAATTTTTGTGTGTAGTCCTTGTATCCTGTGACCTTAGTAAACTTACTTTTTAGATCTGGTAATTTACTGTAGCTTGTTAAGGTTTATTAGGTGCACCATTATTTGGTCTGTGAATAATGATCATTTTAATTCTTATTTTCCAGTTTTTATGTCTCAATTTTCTTTTTCTTGCCTTATTACACTGGAAGGACTTTTGATATATTTGACTATATATTATTATATATATTGTACTTATCTTGTTTTAGTTTGCTAAGCTCTTAAAAATGCAGGGTGGTAACTTTCATTGACTAAAATTTTCAACTATTTTTCTTCAACTATTTGCTCTGAGCCATTCTTATTTTATGTCCCTATTTTCCTTCTAAAACTCCAGTTTTATATATGGTAGTCCATTTGATATTGTCCTGTAGGATGCTCTGTTTCATTTTTTTACCCTGTTTTCTTCTTTGTGTTTCAGTTTAAATAATTTCTAATGCTCTGTTTTTAAAATCTCTTATCCTTTTCTATACTTTATCTAGTCTCTTTTGACCCCATAAAATGAATTCTTTACTTGTAATTTCTTATATCATGTTTTGTTTTTGTTTGTTTGTTTTTATTTTTTTTTCTTTTTATCCTCACCCGAGAACATTTTTTCCATTTTTTTTTTTTTCTGTTCAGATAGAGTGGGAGGGAGAGAGAGAGAGAGAGAGAAACATCGATGTGAAAGGACACATTGAGTGGCTGCCACCCACACGACCCAACCAGGGCCGGGGACAAACTGCAACCGAGGTACATGCCCTTAGCAGGAACCAAACCCGGCTCTCTCGGGACCGCAGGCCAACACTCTAACCGCTGAGCCAAACCGGCCAGGGCTGTTTTTGTTGTTAATCTTCACCCAAGGATATTTTTTCCATTGCTTTTTAGAGAGAGTGAAAGGGAGGGAGAGAGGAGGAGAGAGAAGAACATCAATGTGAGAAAGACACATTGATCAGATCCTTCCCTGATGTGCCCCAACTGAGGCCAGGGATCGAACCTGCAACCCAGGTATGTGCCCTTGACCAGGAATTGAACCTGTGTCCCTGTGATGTAAAGGTCAATGCTCCAACCACTGAGCCACACTGGCCAGGTGATATCATGGTTTTTATTTCCATGGGCTAGACAGATAGATTGATAGACAGATAGATGATAGATGGAGGAATAATAGAGTAGATAGAGATAAAGTGTGTGTGACCTATTTAAATGTCTTCCTTTTTAAAATATTTATCATACTTATTTTAAAGACTCTGTCTCATAATTTCAATATATAGGCCATCTCTAGGCCTGCTTCTAATGACCATGTCCTCTCTTGGCTATACACCACAACACCATTTTCTTGTTTCTTTTTGCATCTCATATTTTAAATTATCTAATTGTATGTCCCATATTGTGTGTAAACGTACAATAGAGACAAGAGTAGATAATAATTACCCCTCAGAAAATTTATACCCTTCTTTTGTGAGACAGCTAGAGTAGAGACTGAATGAACTAATCTGTATCCCAGTGGGGTCTGGGCTTTTTCCAGAGATATTGCTGGTTTCCATGCAGCACTGATTTCAAATATTAAAAAGGCTGGATCGGGACTTTCTGTCCAGCAGAGCTTGAGATCTGAACATCAGCAAGGCTCTGAGAGCCTCCTCATGCTATATAGCCACACCACCAGCTTCCTGGATTGTTGGAGATCTCGCTCTGCTTTATACACCAATAGTGAGATTTGAGGGAGTCTCCTTACTCATCAGTCCTCCCAAGGCTCCCTCTACCTGAGGAGATTTCTCTCTGCCTCCAGGCATCAAAGGGTCACTGTAATGCACTTGGTGAACTACAAGAATACCTCAGAGGGATTTCTCTTAGTTCTTCCACTCTAACTTTACCCTTCCATGAGCCACTGCCTTGCATTTGGGGAAGTCCCTATATACATCAGGAACTTAGATCTCTCTCAGTTGTCCTTTCTTATCCCTAGCCTTTGGCTGACTAAGCCTATATACTTGTGAAGGCCCATGGGAAAGAATTGGTAGATAAATACAGCCTCTGTGGCCAGGACATTTGAAGACAGGATTTGGGGGATTTTAACCTGTCATTATAGCCCCAGTGTGGTTGTAAAAAGTTCACTAAAATTTAGACTGGTTTCTCCTTACCCTCATCTCTGGTGGATTACTTCTGCTTCTCTAGTGCTGTATGTATTTATGGTGTCTTCTCCTTGAAAGGGCTTATCACTTTCTAGAATTTAGCTCATTTATATTTTTTTACTCTCTGAGAGTTTTTTTTTTTTTTAAGTGCTAGTATAGAACTAAAAGTCTCCTGCAGCCTTCTACATCCTAACCAGATTTACTGGTCTTTTTGTTTTCATGGTAGATTTTCTCCTGAAATATGATTGTAAATTCCTCTAGCAAAAGGAGCCTGTCATATATTCTCTAAATCCTTCAAAGCACCCACCACTACTGTTCCATGCATCGTACAACCTCTGTAAATGCATATTAAAAGCCACGTGGATTAAGTAATAGAAGCTCTCAAAGAGCACTACTTCTGAAACTGCAGAAACGCAGCACAAGAGAAACCGAACAGGAGACCAGAAGAAACTGAAAGGCAGATTGTAAATCTGATTAGAAATGCAAGACTGGATGCCAAGACTGACTCTGAATTAGTCATGTGGTTGTGGTAACAATGCAGTCTCACCCTATCAGCCAGTGATTGAAAAGCCAAAAGCCTTTCATTTAGAAGCCAGATGTTGGCCATGAATATTGAGAAGAAAATCAGAATAGCAGGTCACAGCCTCCTAACTGGGCAGCTCAAGACTGACTTCTACTAAAGAACTATAAAGAAAAGAACCTCCCCTCTCCCCCAAACAACCAAAAACTATTAAGGAGAATTGAAATAATAAAACCATCATCTAAAGGGTGACATGCATTTTACAAACAGCCTAGTGAGTATACGTTTTGGAGAATTTGAATAAAATTGGCTGTTTTATTATCTTGTGGGATAAAAAAAAAATCAGTACAATTATCTTAAGAGAGAAACTGTTTCTAGCCCTCCCCCCCTTCCTTAAATAAACCCACATGACAGGCTGTTTCTGGTGGATATTTCATGATGCTCCTATGCTTATCTTAGAATTGATAACATCTTTTCCTGTTTTCTTCTTGGTAAATCCACCATGAGAGTTTCCAGGAATTCATGGTTTAATTTCATTCTTACGGTTGTAGCATTATTTATATATCTGTTGCTAAGCCTCTTTCCTTCTCCTCCGACCCCTCAACACAGCAGTATATTTTCAATTATTTTTTCCATGATAACCATTAGTCCTTTAACTGAAACACATATCACTTATCTCTACTCCCTCATTCCCTCCCATATTGATTTTATTTCCTACATTGGAGGTTTTATTTAACAGATATATCTGTGTGTGTACAACAGGCCAAGAATTGTGGACATGCTGTTCTCACCTAAAGCCAGTCTTACCCAGAGTCTACAGTGGACATAGTGATCAGGATCGGCAGCATTTCTCAGCTTTGAAGTGACTGTGGTGAGGGTGAGTAGAACACACTTTCAGACTCTCCTGCATAGGGGTTTTAATTGGAAAACTCATCTTTCATCCTATAAGTGGCTTTATTTTTAGGTGGCTGTTTGAAGATCTGACTGATTGGACTAGGAAGTTACTAAATTTTAAAAGGCAGAGACACTGTTCTAAGCCATCTCGGGGCAGTAGGGTTTGCTGACAGACAGAAAGAGACACCTACTTTTTATCTCCCAAGCTGTCCAACTTTTATAGAGTGAACAAGCCACAGGAGTAGCTTCCTGTGAGAAAGAAGAGCAGCTGCCCAGCTACTGGCCACGTGGTGGGCGGAAGCTGTTGAATCTTGCCTGGCATCATGGTGCCCAGCTGCTGGCTGGAGGTGGGTGCACTCAGCCTGAGTTATGAACCTGTCAGACAGCAAGTTGGATGCACAATTTTTCTAAGCAGGAAAAGTTGGCTATTTAGTAAACCTGACCACTTGTTGAAATGTGTGAACAAAAAAGTAGGAATTATAAATGAGCTGGCTTCAAAGATGGATAGACCCTACAAAGCAAACGAGGAGACATGCTCAGCACCATTCTAAATTATGGACAAGAAACTTTCAGTGAATCACGTGAAAATATTGAGCTCCAAGTCCCTTCTGAAATTTGAGAAAAGTTGGAACAATAATATCCTGACTAATATCTCTGATACTTAGTAACATATGCAAGAGAAAAGAAGAGCTGGGAGAAATCATTCGTTTGAATTACTGTAACATACCCAGGAATCATCTAAGCAGACTGGTAAACAGAATTCTCTTTTTTTTGTGAGAACTTGGTATTATGCAAAGTACTCAGTTGCTCTCTACCTGAATGGGCTCTCCAGTGACAGGATTCATCACTTCTTTTGCAGAAATTCTCATCCCCAAGGCAAAATTAGCCACTCTCTGAGCATGGTTCCCAACAGGCACAGGCACACCCCCGACCACCATATAAGCATCACCTATTGTTTCCACCTGTGAGGGAAAAGAGGGTATTCAGAGGTTTTTCATAGATGCACCAAACAGATCACTGGATATTTGTGTCATTTTTCACACGCTGATGGAAGGACCATATAAAAGGCGGTGATTAAGAATATATTTTCAGGGATCATTTCTATAGTTTGTTAAAAGGTAGTGATTGTTTGCTAGGGGTATGAAGAGTGTGAAGAAGGAGATGAGAAGAAAAATGACCGAGAAAACAACCAAGCGGGTCAAAAGGCCTTTCTGCTTCTGGTGGAAACAGATCCCTGAGCAGCTGAAGCTCCTGGGGTAGGTGCGTGGTGCTATGTATTTGATATGTATTATTTGGATTACATTTGCTGCTGAATTTAAGGAGTAGGAGAACTCCTCTCTAGGAAAACAGTGTGCCCTCAAAAGCATCTTAGTATTGGGTATTAGAGGGATTACTAGGAAACGAAAATTTCTGAAATACCTTTAATTTCCTTTGAGCTCTTCCTCCTCATCCTGCTCTCATCCACACCCACCAGACGCAGACCAGTGACGAGAACGGCCTGCAGCCGAGTACCTGCCAGCCTAACAGTACTGTGACATACGCCCACAGGACACAAACACTTACTTTGTAGACGTCATGGACACTGGTTAATCTGTCAAACTTGGAGTACATTGAGTTCAGCATGTTCACTATTTGGATAGGTTCGCAGGCAGCACAGATGTTAGTAAACGTCACCACATCGCTAAAAAGGATTGTGCAGGTTTTAAATTCTCCTGCAACAGAAACCAGTTAGTAGTAATAGCCAAGCATATAGAATAATAATTCCATGAATTTTGAATTCAAGTGTCCCTTGGGAACCAAACCTGATTATGTCTTGAGGAAAGGAGCCAGAAGCCCCTGACCACTCACCATCCAGCCAACGGATGCCTAGTGAGTGCCTGCTATGAGCTAGTCATCATGCTGGGAAAATCATGGAACATGACGCAGACACAGACCCTGCTTTTAAGGAGCTGCCTGTCTAGAGAGGGAGACAGAAGAGTAAACAGGTACTCAATAAGATGTGCCCACTGCTGTGGGATATCAGAAATGGGTTTGGTGGGCACTGACTTAAAAGAAGCCCCTGGCAGGTGGGCCAAGGCAGAGCCTGAATGAAATGAGACCCAGAGTCATGCCCTGGCTGGTTTGGCTCAGCGGTGAGAGCACTGGCCCACAGACCAAAGAGTCGCTGGTTCGATTCTGGCCAAGGACATGTACCTTGGTTGCGATTCGGTCCCCAGCCCTGGTCAGGGTCATAAGGGAGACAGCCAGTCGGTGTGTCCCTCTCACATCCTCAATATGTGCTCAACTCCTCTGGCCACTTCCACCCTTTTCTCCACGCTTGCTGATTCCATAAAGTTTAAGTCAGATGACCTGTTTCAGTCAGATCCCTCCTTCCTCTGCCTCAGATCTTCCACAACTTCCATCGCACTTACATTAAAACACAAAATCCTTACCATGGCCTAAAAAGAGACTCACTCTGTCCCACCACCTCTCTGACCTCATGTGTCTACACTCTCCTGTGGGCTCACTCCAGCCCGACCACATGGTCTTCCTGGAGTCTCTCCAGCACAGGAAGTGCCTCCTGCTTGGGCCCTTGCATCTGCCTGACACTCCTTTCTCAAATGCCACAGGGCTCTGTCTCACCACTTCAGATGTAATGACCTCAGTGAGAACTGTCCTGCCCACCCCATCTAAAATAACAGTTCCTAGATCTTTGTCCTCTTAGTCTGAATGCTGCCCTCCACCCCATCTGATGATGACATTTTATATAAGATTGTTTATTAGGTTATTGCCTATCTCCCCATTGGAATGTAAGCTTTGTGAGATGAGAGACTGTTTTGAACTCTGCTGTATCTCCAGCACCTAGAGCAGGGCCTGGCACACAGTAGATGCTTGAGAACTATCTGTTGAATGACTAAATGGATATCTCTTTGAACAGAGCTGAATACCTTTTGTATTATTTATACCTACGGTAATAATCTCCCATTCTCTTCCCTTTGGCTTCTGGCCTACCATTCTCTCTATATTCTTTCTACTTTTCTCATCTCCTTGTTTTATGTATTTCACTGTTTTGTTTTCCCCCTTTTCACATAATAGGTGTCCCCTCAGGTTCAATACCCAACTGTCTTCTCTTTTCACCTCATGTCTCCTAGATGACTTTATCCAACATTCAGAGGGTCTATTATTAACTACCACCCACCCTGGAGTGACTCCCAGATTTGCAGCTCTGTCCTCGAACTCCATTGAGCGGTCCCAACGACCTGCTGGCCTCATTGCATGGAGCGTCCCAGAGACATTGCACACTCTCCAGCTCTGCAACTGGCTTCACTTTGCTGCCCTCGGGCCTATTCTTTCTGTGTCTTAGGATAAAGATCCCACTGTAACCCTCATGGTCATCTCTTGCTTTCCCCATCTTAACAGTCATGAAATCCTGCTGATTCCTGCTCATGCTGCCCTAAGTCAAGCCTTTGCCATCACTGAGCTGCACGCTGATGGGCTTGGCAAGATGCTTGCCTCGCATGTGTTCACTGCACTGTAACCAAAATCATATTTACAAAGCCAGTCATGTCACTTCCATTATAAGAAAACCAACTTCACTGAATTCCCACATCCAAAATATAAGACGGTTTCCTTTCCTGTGGTGATCCAGATTCATCCCTGTTCTATCTGCCCAGCCTCGCGGGCACCACTTTGCCACGTCCTGTTTTCTACGGAAAATACCTACAGTAGTTATTTTTATATGACCTTACCTTTCCTCCTGCACTCTCACACTCGCCAAATGCACCCCCACCTTTTTTCTAATATTCAGCTTCATGGCCCAACTCAAGTGCCACACACTTTGTATAAGCCCTCTCAACCCTACCCTGCCCATCTCTTTCTCTTCTGACTTCTATTTATTCTTAATTTCCCTGTCATCTGTGTTTCCACAGTGCCTTATGTGGTGGAAAGAGCACGGATTTTTATTTCGAAAACCTTTTTGTTCTGCTTATAAGCAGAGTGAATGTAAATGTGCTCAGCTGCACAGTATGGAGGACTAACACCTTCCTCAGAAATGTTCAGAAAATTAAGGAAACAGCAATCAGAAAATGTCGAACGCATTCTGGCACAGTAACTGCTCCTTAATGGATGCCAGTGTCCTTTTCTGGGGCCATCCCCACTCCTACCCCCCATTAATTTATTCTGTGTACGTACATCTCTCAAACCCACAAAACTGTGGACTCCTTTGGGTTTCCAGGACCTGGACAGCACCCGATACTGAGTAAGTAGCCCTGGCAAGGGTGGTGAATGATGGCAGGCCAATTAAAAGTGGAAAGTGAGTTCAGAGTATACACGCATCCTTCCTTCCAGAAATCGCTTGCTGCCCAGAGTGGTGCTGAGAGGCACCCCATGCTTTAATGTGTAGGTATATTATTCCCAGTCAAAGTGAAAAACTCTATTCATGGCCACTGAGTGAAGAGGCCAGTCCTAGGATACAGCTTTAAATTCTTAGCAAACATATATAGTTGGTGTGGCTGACAGGAACTTTTATTTAATCCCTATTTCACTCCTGTATTATTTTTATTATTCTCAATGTAGACAGAAGAAAACTGACGATATGTAGCTTAACTAATTAGCCCAAGACCACACTGCTCACAAGTGATGGAACCGGAATTCAAACCCAGATCGGCCTGGTTTCATATCTTATGCCCTTAAGCACTAAGGCACACTGCCTCGCGCTCACAGGTCCTGTGACAGGAAGGGACTGCCTTACCTGCAGCCACCTTTCTGCCCTCCTTCAGCTGGTTGGCCACATGTTCAGGCAGCATCGCATAAAGCAAGGTCTCCGTTTTCTTCTTTTCTATGGCCAAGTGTTTAGAGAGGACCCGCAGCTCCTCCTTCTTCCTCTCCAACTGGGTGGACAGCTCCATCTCAGCCAGTCGCTGCTGGTTCAGCAGGATGAGATCCCTGGTGGTGTCATGGGGGGCGAGGTCAGAAAGGTGCATCTGACACTCCTCCAGCTCTTGCAGGCTCCGGAGCTTCGGGGAGCACAGGTATATCATGCACTGCATGGACTCCATCCAGATCATCTGGCCTTCCCATCACAGAGAGAAATGTGACAAGGATAAAGTCACCAACAAGAGATGGCCCGGCTCACCAGACCATCACCACACAATGTATCTTCCTAGCCACTGCACGGTCTCACAACTCCCCTTTCAGCCAAACTTTGTGAAAGTCATCTCTGTTTTCTGTCTTCGCTTATTCATCTCCCGTCCCTCCATGGCCTCCAGACACCTGCTGTGACCCAAGTGTGTCAGTCTTTTCCTTGCTCAGCCAATGTGCTGTGTGATGGTGCTGAGCAAGCCCTCCTCCCTGAAATCTCACTCCCAGGGACTTCCCCAACACTCTTTCTCCCCGAGAGTCCCCTACTGCTTCCCTTCAGTCCCTCAGGCTTGCTGTTGTTCCTTGCTTAACGGTCGGCGTCCCCGGGTTCTGTGTGGGCGTCTCCTTTACGGCCCACAGCTGTGCCCTGCACCACACTGGCAATGAGCCTGTTTCCAGAGGAGCCCTTGCTTCCCCGACTCAGGATGCACATTTCTTCACAAACAGATATGCTTGTTGTTTCATTATGAAAGTGGTATACATTCATTGCAGAAAATGAAAAAAGTGGAAGAAAATAATAAAAATTACTCCTAATTTCACCACATAGATCATTACTGTTAATATGTTGCAGTATATGTTTTTATTACCCAAAAATGGGTTATCTGGCATCTTCTTTTTGTAATCTCAATTTTTCATTTAAAATATATAATAGATATTTTTCCATATCATTAAATATGCACCATATTTTTGCTGTCTACATTTGTTACACTACATTTTATTTAAGCGATACTCTAGAATTGATTGTATTTCATCTCATTTATTGATCTATAAACAACCTTGCAAAGAGCAAGCTTAAAGTAACTCATTGTGTATAATTATGGCTATTGTGTTAAAGGATATATTTTTAGACAAGAAATTACTGAAACAAAGAATATGCTCTCTCTCTCGCTCTCTTTTTTTTGTTGTTGTTGAAAATGTTAAATGACATTTACTTCATAAAGTTGCAAATGTTTCCTTAACACAAAATGTTAAGTTTGCTTGATTTGGCCCTGGCCAGTTTGACTAAGTGGTTAGAGCGTTGGCCTGCAGTCCAGAGAGTCCCAGGTTCGGTTCCTGATAAGGGTATGTACCTCAGTTGCAGTTTGTCCCTGGCCATGGTTGGGTCGTGGGGGTGGCAGCCAGTCAATGTGTCTCTCTC